AAGTTTACGCCCAGTCCTGGGTATCTTCAGGAGCAGCTGATCAGCTGACCTGAGAGAGCGGGTGGGTGTATAAGGCTGTAGCAGCTCAGAGAGATAAGATGGAGCGAGGCCATGGAGAGCTTTAAAAGTAAATAAAAGAATTTTAAAATGGATCCTAAAAGAAACGAGCAGCCAGTGAAGTGAAGCTAAAACAGGGGAAATGTGCCAGTTAAAAGACGAGCTGCGGCATTTTGCACCCTCTGTAGACGACTAATATACGATGCGCTGACCCCAATATAAAGTGCATTACAGTAATCCAGCCGAGTGCTAACAAAGGCGTGGATCACTGTCTCAAAGTGCTGCCGTGAAAGAATTGGCTTTATTTTTGCAGCTGCCTGAGCTGAAAGAAGCAATCAATTTGATCACACTTCAGATCTTAATCTCCTTCTTCTTTAGGGGTTGTCACAATCATCTGCCTCCATGTCACCGATCACTAACATCCTCCTTCACTACATCTATCAATCTTCTCTGTGGCCTTCCTCTTTGCCTCCCACCTGGCAGCTCTTGGCCAAGACCCATATTCCCTCTCCATCCTCTGCACAAGTCCGCTCCACCTCAGCCGTCCCTCTCCAGGAATGAGACTGCCCCCAAAGAAAAAAATGCTTCAAAATGACGTTTTGTATTCAGACTCACCATAAATGTGATCTCTGCGTAGTCCACCAAAAAGTGAAACATGTAGATGATGAGAGGAGTCTGAAAGGATCAACATGAACATCTAAACATCAACATGCCTCATTTGTGGATTTCAGACACATTAAATTATTTTCTGCTGACTCAGATCTCAGTTATAGAAATACACCACCTATGAGGTACGAGCATGTCATGGAAAAATCAAGAACCAGGAACAAATGAAACATCCCAGCACGTCTATATAATTAAATAAGACATTTATTGTCCGTTTTCCACCAACACGGCACCTGGAAATGCATGGAACTGGTTTTCGACTGAGCACCAGCACTTTGTTGGTGTGAATGTGATTCGAGAGGTGGTTTACAGATGCTACTCACCCTTTGAGTCTACAAACAGGCAGCTGATTGATTCTTGTGATCTTGATATAATATATTTTGTGTTTGTTGATTATCTGTGAACAAAGTTTGATGTGCTCACCCTGCTCTGGATGTTTTAGAGTATCTATTTAATCTCTTAGAAACCTTTGGTCCAGCCATGGCCCGACTCTGAGGAGGCTCCTCCTCACTCAGAAGATCTGACTCTGACACTTTCACTTTGTTCTGATGATGAAGTTCTTGCTATTACACAGCTGCTTAGTAAGCAATGTTTTCACCTGGGTGTTATCTGAATGCTGCTTCAGTGGAAATCTGACCTTTTGTAGAAAGAAGTTTCTAGAAATGTTGCCTGTGTCTCTAATCCCCTCCACTGTGATGGTTCACCAAGAAATAAGGAGAATCTGGAATGTTTCATCTTTTTTTCCCAGACCATCTCCTTCATATTTTCTGATTATTTTCAGGTTAATGTACAAATATACTTTCAGTGTTCACTCAGACTTGTGTGTTTGTGTGTGAGAGAGATTCACCTCGTGGAAAACATCTCCAGAATATGGTGAAACTCCCAAATCAAGCAGAGCCAAACCTTCAACAACTGCAAAGAAAC